TGCAAGTGAATCCTTAAGTTTTAAGCATTGGTGGATAGAGACAAGCAGCCACAGACACTCTCCAAACATGGCAGCAAGAATCGATCTTTCGGTGTTTGTTCTCTGGTGGCTTTGGAAGACCAACAATTTATGGGTCTTCCAAAATTTCTGGCTTGCTGAATACTCCATTGCCCAATCTGCTGTGGCCTCCTGGACTGAATTTTTCACCTGCTAATAGACTCTTTCTCTTTTGTAGTTTTCTCAGCTTTTGTAGCGTTGAACTTATTTATTTGTGTTTGTTTTTTCTCTTGTAGTGATAGTGCTGCTAGGTTCTCTAGTTCACTGGTAGCCTATCCTTTTGTATAGTCCTACTATATTTTAGCCCAACATCATAAGAGGAAGGTTCAGATATTGTAGCCTCAATCTATACCGACCCAAACTCTTAAGATTGCTGCATTTTATTTCTTTCTTGCTAGATAACTATTGTTAGTGACTCTCCAATTTGCTTAGTAGCAGTTGCAATCTAGTATGTACATATCCTTTTGAGTTTATAAAATCTATCGTGTTGAAAAAAAAAAATAGTTAATAAATTCTATAAATATACAGTAATGATTATTTATTAATTCAAAAATAATATTAAAAAATATGAGCAAGTATCTATATATATACATAAATGTTTGATTATTTTATAAATAGTAATTATTTCCCGCCAAAAAAATATTGTTTACTAATTTTGAAAACTACTTACACATTTTATGGTATGTTTTAAAGATACAATATAAATAATTGAGGCTAATTAATTAAGGTAATAAATCACATAAAAATTTATTTTGTATCTCAAGATATTCATATCATATATTTGTACATATATATCATATATTTGTACCTAAAATATCGAGATCTATCACATTTCTAACAAACATTAGATTTACTTATATATTTTTAAATTAATCACATCAATAAATAATATTAATATGCATTAAATATTTATCATTATATAAAAAATAAATATTACTTCTATAAATATTATAAATAATATTGACATTATACGACAATAAATTTTTGAATAAAATAATATTTGAGTATTATGATGAACCAAAATATGTAAAATTATTATTTTTTGTATTAAAAAAATAAATATATATATTAAAATGTTATTTATATTAATATACACGAAATCCCCGTGCATCGCACGAAATTCTCACTAGTAAAGAATTAAGTGAAATGGATAAATAACTAGAAGAGAATGGAATTAATATATTAAGTACTTACTGCAAGTAATTTTAAAAACCAATTAAATAACTCTTACAATACCAGCAAAGTTCATAGAAGCATTTACATTACCAAAAAAAGTTTCTTCAAATGTTAGAAGGCACATCAAGTCGAGCCTCAATGGGTTGGGAAGGAGATTTTCATGAAAGCAGTCAAAGATAATAAAAATTAAAAA